GTGGTGGGACGCTGTAATCCCAGCTACTTGGGAGGCTGAGGCAGGAGAATTGCTTGACTCGGGAGGCAGAGTTGCAGTGAGCCAAGATTGCAGCCCAGCTAATTTTTTTATTTTTTAGTAGAGACAGGGTTTCACCATGTTGGCCAGGCTGGTCTTAAACTCCTGACCTCAGGTGATCTGCCAGCCTCAGCCTCCCAAAGTGCTGGGATTACAGGTGGGAGCCACCGCGTCCAGCTCCCCATCCTTGAAACTGCACACGTCCCATCATCCCTCTGAACTCCCAGTCTCCATGACCTGTGACCCCCGGCCATCCTTGCAGGGACAGGCCCCCACCTGAGGGTCAGCGTGTACTCGCCCTGGATCTTGCTGGAAGCATCTCGGACTAGGAAGGTGCCATCGGGAGTGTCCCGGAGTTTCTCGTTCACCTCCTCCCTGTGGGGACATCCAACATTGGGATTGCTGAGCTACCTGGAGACCCTGATTGACCTGTGACAAGTCCTTGGTCCCTGACCCCCTGCCAGCAACCTACCTTGAAATGTCCCCCCAGTACCACTCGGCATCCTGCAGGGAGGGTGGACTCCCTCCATTCGCCAGGCCTGCAGGGGCCAGCTTTGCCTTGGGGGGTTTAGGCGGCAGCGCTGAGGGACAGGAAAACAAATGCATCCTGAGCACTGACTGGATACTGTGGCTGCCTCCCACTGCGACCGGCCTGCTGACACCGGCGGCATCCAGGAATCAGCAATCACGGCCCTCAACGGGAAGAAATGACAGCAATATAGGGGACTCACCTGGGGGCGCAACCTCCTGCTCTTCCAAGTGTTCCTGAAGCAGCTTCTCCACCAGCAGTGCCGGGAAGTCAGGACTGGGCTCACTCCTTAGGGGAAAGGGGAGTGCGGTGAGGGCTGGGTGGGGCCTGTCTGCCCACACATGTGCACAGGCGTTTGCACGCCTGGGGGTATATACGAGACGGTATGTGCAGGGGGGACGAGGAGATGATACAGGCACAAGTGCGAGGCCAGCTCCCTCATAGCTGTATGCAGTAAGTGCTCCATAAATCCTCACACAAAGGCGAGCAAGAGAGTAGTACTGGAGCTACGATGAGCAGAAGGGAAGGTGCAGGCTCCACCCACATGCTTCGGGACTAGGCCCCTTCACCTTCTGTCTCATGACTCAGGAGCCCAGGTGCCCTCTCCGTCATCACAAAAACGCAGCTTCTCACTCACTCTGGACCCCCTCCCCTCCCTTCTTAGGGTCCAGACGCTGCTCACTCTGGCCATGCCCCGCCCACCCCATCCCAAACTCCACCCCTGCTCGCTCCGGCTGCGCCCCGCCCCTCACCCGTCGGGAGCGCCCCCTGGCGGCGGCGAGGACGGCGGCGGCGCGCGCAGCAGCAGCGGCCCAAAGGTGGCGCCCAGGGCCCGGACCGCGGGACCCAGGGCCGGGGCGCGGCGGGCCACGCGGCCCAGGTGCTGGAGCAGGAAGCGCAGCGTGAGCGCGCGGTGCAGCGGCAGCGTCGGTGGCTCCAGCGCCGGCCCCACAGGCCCCGCGGCCTCTGCGGACAGATGGCCAGGGCAGGGTGAGCCGGGCCTGGGCCCTCCCGCCCGCTACAGGTCCCTCCTTCCCCTGGGCTCATCGCCAGGCTCACCCCGCAGGGCCCTGCGCGCCTCAGCCGAGGCCTCGGGGGTCACGAGCGGTGCGGGCAGTGCCAGAAGGAAGCTCTTAATGCCGTCAGCCAAGGCGGTCACGTCCCACTGGTCCACGTCGCTCAGGGTCCAGTCTGCGGGTGCAGTGGGGGGGCACATGTCCAACTCACGTATACTGCGGCCCCCAGGCTCCCCCCCCCAACCCCATTGAGGCTCCCCTTCACCTGTACGCGGTGTGGGCAGCTCCGGCCGGTAGTGAGATTCGCTATCCAGCCCTGGGGGTGAGGGGAACAGGCGAGTCAGCTCTCAAATGCTGCCCCAACCCCCTTGAAGCCTGGGCTGGCCGCTCAAATCCCCTGCAGTCTCGCTTTGCCGCCCAGAGATAAGGGCATGGGAGGGGTGGGGAGGGAGAGCTGGGAGAGGGCACAGCACATGCAGTGGCCTGGTCGTGTTCACCTTCCCATCTTCCCTTAGGAGTCACTCTGTGCCCTAGTCAACACAGAGGCCCAGGGCATCCAGGCTCGGCCTCTTTCCATGCAGCATGAGCTTGGAGGCCCTGTGAGGGCATGAGTCGCCTGTCACTAGAGGTAAGCAAGCAGAATCCAGGGGCTGCAGCCAGACTGGAACTCACCTGTCCTTTCAATGGCCTCCACAAGCTTCACCAGAAGAGGGGGCGCCACATCGGGTGGGGAGAACTGCTCAGGCAAGTCGGGGAGTGTGAGGCCTGGTGGGGGAAGAAGGGAGGGTGGCCTGTTGGTGGGGTTCCTGGAAGGAGCCCAGCCCCTCTCTTTGCCGGCTGGACCTCAGCTAGGGCAGTTTGAGGCAGGGCCCAGCTCAGGCAAGTGCCTGGCACCTTGACTGCCATCTGCAGGAGGCTGTAAGACCTTGGGTAGAGGGGCTAGGAGAGGGCAGAGTTGATGGGACACAATTTTCTGGGTTAAAATACCAGGAGTTCACACAACTTCACAGAACAGGTGGACTGCGCTGAATAATGTCCCCAAAAAGGTATGTCCAAGTCCTCATCCCTGGTACCTGTGACCTTATTTGGAAATAGGTCTTTGCAGGTGTAAGGAAAGGAAGGATCTGTACATGAGACCAGCCTGGCATTAGGGTGGGCACTAAACCCACTGACTGATGTCTTTGTAATAACAGAAAGCCGGCCAGGATGGCAGCTCATGCCTGCAATCCCAGCACTTGGGGAGGCCGAGGTGGGTGGATCACCTGAGGCCAGGAGTTCGAACCAGCCTGACCAACATGGCGAACCTGTCTCTACTAAAATCAGAAAAATTAGCTGGGCGTGGTGGTGGGTGCCTGTAATCCCAGCTACTCAGGAGGTTGAGGCAGGAGAATCGCTTGAACCCAGGAGGTGGAGGTTACAGTGAGCCAAGATTGCACCACTGCACTCCAGCCTGGGCGACAGAGCAAGACTCTGTTTCAAAAATAAATCGGCTGGGCGCGGTGGCTCAGGCTGGGCGCGGTGGCTCAAGCCTGTAATCCCAGCACTTTGGGAGGCCGAGACGGG